CTGGTCTTGCACGTGAAGCTGGTGGATCTGCAAATTAACATAACATAGGATACTAAAAATTAGGGTTTTATTGTTTTGTCTCGACGAAACAAATCAACAAAAATGAGGCAAAATAATGAATAAATTAATATTAATTAATTAAACACATAGAAACAACGCAGATTTGCTAGAACAATGTGTTTTTTCTCTGCACTTGAGATTGAATTATTTAAAGCAAACTGTTGTTTGTATAAAAAAAAAAAAAAAAAAAAAAAAAGGGGAAAAAAAGGAAGAAAAAAAAAAGAGAAACAATCATGAGCAGTTATGGAGAAAAAGAAAGAGGGAAGGTGGGATTAGGAGTAAAGTACATATGGGTTGCCAGATTGGTCTGGAGTCTGACCAATTTGTGGTCCCTTGTGGCTGGCTTTTTTTAGTTGAACACGTCTTAAAGCAGAAGAATATATACCGGGGCGGTCAGGTTCTTCGGTTGCGGCTGCTGATTGCTAATTTCTTAATTAATTTGGCTTCTTCTGTTTGGCCAAACATACAAATAAGGAAAACTGATGAAAAAGATTTAAAAATTTTAAATTTTAACGATAAGGGTAAAATAAAGAGTAAAATGAATAATACCATAATTAATTTTTTAATGTAAAAATATAACTTTTTGTAAAAATGAACATTACGCTTTTCGTTAAAGTTATCTATAAATAATAGGTGAGACTATGATTAATCAGTTTTAATTATTATCCTTAAGCTTTTAAATATACTGGAATTAGGAAACTATGCTTGTTTTGGAGTGTATGGAAGCAGAAACCCCGCAATTTTATATATATGAACATATGCAATTACGAGCCAACGATGAAGTCACGGAAGGTCTTTCCGGAAACGCATAATTTCCTTTTGATTCGGACTGCTAAACAAATCAAATACAATAATTAAAATTCGAGGAATGCTAACAATTTTTTAATTCGATTTCTTATTATATCTTTTCTGTCTCTTCGTTTTATCTTGCAATATTCAGTGATAATTAAATCGTTTATTTTATAGGTTGCCTTAAACCCTTGATCTTATTGTAATCAGTTGTAACTACCTTACTGATATTTGATATGACTATTTAGAGGCAGATTTAAGGGCGAGTGGTGGAGTTTGTTACTCTTGCTTGCCCCTTTTGCTACACATAATGTAGAATTTTCATGGAAGTTAAGCTCCAGCATGGTTGTTTTGGAACAAGGAGGAGGATTCTCTATCCTCCTATTTCTACCCTCTTTCATCCATTCCTCTCACATATTGTTTTTTATCTTGTTATCTCTATAAAAAAAAAATCAATATAAGATGTTGACGTGGCTTAACCGTAACCGTTCAAATAGGAGGGGATGAAAAGGTAGAGAGATTATGAGGGTAGAGAATCCTCCTCCTTAGAACAAACTGTTTGACAGAAGTCATTTTTGTTTATGTACTCTACTTTCTTGAGAAGAAAAAAATTCATACGCTCACATGGTGTGGATCCTTAACAAGTCAACAATGAAGAAAATCGTGAATAAATAGTATTTAAAAGGTCAAAAATGATTGTTGTGAGGAAGTTAAGTGCAGGAAAATGTTATTGTCAAAGAGAAAGGATTTTCACCGGATCCTCCTTCTGAGGATATTAAGAATCCTCCAATCATATCCGTTCATCGTATATCGTGCTGTCAGTTTTTGTCAGGTACTGTTTATATTCAATTTTAAATAAAAAAATTACAATAATTTCTGACCGCACAATATACGATGAATGAATATAATTGGAGGATCTTTAGGATTCTCACAAAGAGAATTCGGCGAGGATTCTCCTGGATTGTCAAAATCCAATAGCAGTGACCTAACCCTAACCCTAGTTGATTATTATTATTTTTCGTCAAAAAACCTAATTAAAGCAAGCCAAATTGTCAATAGAAATTTGGATTAGAAGATGAATTAGCTGATGGTTTATTAGCTGTCAACTTTGCCACACAATTCTGTTTTAATTAATTATTGTTATTGGGTTCGAACTCTATCACTGGCTAATCTAACATTTAATCTAATAAAATTCAACGTTTGAGAAACAAAATTATTGTTATTGGGACCTACCAAAATAAATTGTAACTTCTTCACAACTAGTCCTATTTATTTGAATATTCTCACATTATTTTTTGGCGATTTAGCCAAAATGGTCATTGAGATTGGTATAACTCCTCACTGTGGTTCATATGATTTAAAATCGATAAGATTTAGTCCAATCTCAACGATTATTTTGGCTAAAATGCCTTATCATTTTTATTTTCTGGTTGTTATAACAAAAATGTTCCCTTATACCGTTGGGCAAAAATTGCTGAGCTCTAATTGGTACTAGAACTGACTTTTGGTCTTCCTTGTTTGAAGTATTTTTGTTTTAATATTTCGTCACATCCTGACCCAGGCTCCATCACATCCTCGGGTTCGATTCTACCGTAGCACGATATTGTCTGCTTTGGGCCCCAACCACGCTCTCACGATTTTGTTTCTAGGAACCCACACGAGAACTTCCCAATGGGTCATCCATCATGGGATTGCTCTCGCACGAACTCGCTTAACTTCGGAGTTCCGTTGAAATCAAAAGTCAGTGAGTTCCCAAAATGCCTCGTGCTATATGGAGGTGGGTATGTACATATAAGACATAGAGGATCTTCTCCCCTCCTGGGTGATGTGGGATCTAACATCTCTCATTTTAAAAGTGTAAAAGAAAAAAAAAACGATGCAATCCATACGAGCTCACATGCACTGAATATTTATAAAAACGCAAAACTAACCGAGTTTATGTAAGAGTAATACTAAGAGACTGAAATCTCTCGAGTATTAAAAGGAAAAAAAAATCATTAGCTGATGAACAATTAATTTTGAACTATTGCGTATCTTAATGAACTAGCATTTATATACAGATGTACAAATGTTTGTTTGAAAAGTAACGAATAAGCTTCTTCGACATCTCTTCATTTACAACATGTTTTTCAATTAAAAAAAACAGTGAATCCGCCTGAAATGTCTTCATGTTACATCCATTTCTTGTTCTCTTGCACTTGGCAAATATAATAACGTTGGAAACTTGGGGGAGTGCACGTTAGTGTCAAGGATTACTTTCATTGTGGTATATTCTTAAACAAAATTAAAATAGAACTCTTAAAAGAATTATTATTAGCACTCCAAAAATCTCATTTGATATTCTAAATTTTCTATAATTAGAAAGAAAAATACACTTGTGAGGAGTGTAAACTGAGATTTTTAGAGTGCTAATAACAATTCCTCTCTTAAAAGTAAAAGACAACAAATAGTAGAATGATATGATGGCCGACGCTTAATTTTCAAAAGACAATAATTATTAGAAAATGATTAGAATTTAACAAAAGTTGCTAATTGCTACTTACCAAACACCAACTAAACAGAATTGGATCCGTTCAAGGCCTTAATGATCAACTAATCTGGGCTGCACAAATTGAATTTAACGGTCTCCTTTAACTTACTTTTTTGGCCCACCATACAAACTAACATCTCTGATTTTTTTTACACACTAATTAAGGGTTTAGATAAATTAATCCTTAAGCTCCGAACACTAAAGTCCGGAGCAGATCCAATTCTCAACTAAACACAACAATTTTCAGACATTATATTATATTAATATAAAAAAGTAGCTAATTATATGCTTGCTAGCTGCTACCGCGTGGCTGCATTATGCAATGCGCTGTCCTCCAAGAGGGCAATATTGTAAAAAGATCCTACAATTTTATTTCTTATTTCTTATCTCACATCGAAAACACCAAAAACTTTTATGAAAAAGGATTTGGATCCTCTCCAAGCTAATGGAGAGGATCCTCCTGATCAATTATCATGGATCGTTGAATTTTTATTCAACGGTTACAATTCTTATAATTTTAAAGGAATCTTCTGTTTGTAGCCGTTGGATAAAAATCCAACGGTCTACAATGATTGGTCAGGAGGATCTCTTCATTAGCTCAGGAGAGGATCCAAATCGTATGAAAAAATGATTAATGTTAAATAGATTAAGTTTGTAGACGAATTTTGTAACTAACTAATGTGACACTAATAAGAAACTAATAACAAATAAATATGTTACTCAACATTTAAATTATAATTCAATCATCAGCTTTTATATCATTTAATTTATAAAATTTAGTTATAAATTTGGTGTTCCCTTCATTAACCATGAAAAAAATGCCCGTAGTTGAATAGATCAAATTTCCGGCTCCCACTTTCTTTGAATCTGCTGAGGTGATTCGTTAGTGGATTCAGGTTTTATCGAAACGCCACTTAAGCTAGTTGCTCTTTCGTCACATGGTGTTCAGTGTCTAATAATATATTGTCAAATGCAGTTCTTTTTTTTTACATGACAATGTATATAAAATTAGGAATACGGCGGTACATCTATTTCATTTAAAATGTTCTGAAAAATCCTTTTTGATGCATTTCTATGAAGCATTTTGCCGATATAGTGCTTAAAAATATCAAAGAAATATTCGTATAATCTCACGTATAACAATTGTATACGCCAGGTCGTATGTGAACCCGTCAACTATATTCTCTGATCATGAATACGAATGGTAATATTTGAATTATTGAGTAAGCGGATTATAGCATTTGAATTATAATTCCAATTGGCAACCATTTTATTTTTCTATCAAATTATCAATACGTGACAAAAATTCGAACTCAGAACATCTTCAAACAATAAAAAATTAAGAGCATTCGAATTTGGAACATCTTCAAATCCTAAGAAACAAAGAGCTTGTTGGTAATTAAGATTGGTAAACAAGAACACAACATGCAAATTATCAGGTGAGAGAATCACACAAACAACGCTAAGCTTAATTAGTAATTAACTTAAGAATATGCATAATTTCGGAAAACCTAGTGACACTCCAAAAGTGAACACAAAAACTTCCCCAGGAACTAAAAACCAATTAAGAAAAATTAGAACATAATTAAGAATTCTAAGTGGATATTATTGTAGCTCGCCAGACACACCAAAAGTATTTAATTATAATTTTTAACAAGATTACATTACAAATCACACCTTCATCCCCACAATTCTCTAATAACATCAGAAAATTAAAAAAGAAAAACTGGGCATGCAGTTTTTTGTTCCAATTAAACCAAAAACAGCTAACAAATTTTAAGTACAAATTTGAATAATTAATTAATTCTACGACCTTCGCTTGTTCGATCTCGGCCGACGCGCCGACGCCGGCTTCGGTTTTCCAAACGCGCCGCAGATCCCGCAGCCGGAGACTTTCGGGGAAGGCGGGTCCGTCGCTTGCGGCGAAACCTTGACCGTCCGATACCCCTTTCCTCCGTTGGATCGGCTCCGCTCCATGGTAGGTCCTGCCGCGCCGCCGCCGCCGCCCTCAGCCTGCTGAGCTGCCTCCGCCTGCTTCTCCGCCTCCACTTGGTTCAGCGCCTGCTGTAGAAACTTGTCGTCCCAAATCAAGCCCGACGAGCCCTGCCTCCTAAACGTGCTCTCAGACCTCTGAAGCCCCTCAGCCATCGGATTGATCTCTGAAATTTTATGATAAATCTCTGAATCTACGATCTGGGTTTTGTTTCTGGAGTCTGGAGGGTTCGATTTATGTGGATTTGAAGGATGGGATTTGGAATTTGGGATTGAAAATTTGCAAGTCCAAGTTGCTATAATGGTATGAGTTTGTTTATTTATACGGTGTTGGACTTTTCTCGCTGCTATGGGAGAGAGAGAGAGAGAGAGAGAGAGAGAGAGAGACAGAGAGAGAGAGAGTGACAAATGAATGTCAGGAGGAAAGAGATTAGGAGGTGAAATCTAATCGCTAATTTGCGATTAATTCTTATTTTAGTGTTCTTTTCTTCGCCCTAAATATTTTTGATAGTTTTGGTTTATCAGAAAATGTGAATAAGGATGAATGCAACAAATTTGAGCTAGGCAATTATATAGGCATCGAATCTAATTTGTATTAAATTCTGATTTGTATTAAATTCCAAGTCTTATTAGGAATTGGAAGATCTTATAAGGAAAGAATTAATGAAATCATAGTCAACTAGGAAAAACCAATAAATCTCTTGAGAGAAAGAAATATAAACTCACCCAATATCCTAATCTTTCTAAAAAGAATAAAGTTCAAAAGATTTTTTCAGAGCTCCTTTACTTTTAAATGACATGTTAAAATGTCTGAACCAGTATTAGCTGTTAAAAAAATGCAGTAACAATGTTTTTCAACTGAAAAGTTTAATATGATATAACATGACATGGATTGACAGTCCTTACTATTGTTGCCAAAATTGACAACAACTTAAAAAAAAATAGATTAATTATTAAATGCATTTTATTAGTGATATTATTGTTTTTTGTTTTAAAATATTTATTGTAATAGTTTAATATAATAAAATAATATTTTATTTAGACATAACGAATGCATAACGAACTTTTAAAAGATATCAAGATGTCACATAGATAGTCAAATTTGAATTTTATATTTAAAATTAACATCTTCTTTAAATATACTCTTCCGTCCTTTTAATTGTTGAATGAGCAAAATCATGTAAAAATAAAACGTGCTTAACAACTTGGAGCTACAATTTAAGAAAAAGGAAAATCAATTATAGCAAAAATATACAAAATTAATCGCATATTATTCATTCTAACTTAAATAATTAATCTCTCTCTCTCTCTCTCTAATTAGAAGACAAAAAAACGTTCCTAAACGAAGTTGAGATCGTCAAAGCTAGCAAGAAAATCTTCCAATGGCATATCAACTTCTGTGTTCACAATGCTCCAATTCCACACCGGTTGTTGGACATTTGTTGTTCCCCAATTCTGCATAGAAGTTCGGGACATCAACCGAAAGGAAATTAAATCATTTGGTAACATTTTTTTCGATATTTTCCGATGTCGGCCAACTTCCGTGTTAGCTCTGGTCTAAATATATAATTCTTTTATTGTTGGTCTGAAAAGTATATAAATTGGATCAACGGTCAATCACTGCTGTGTACAAGGCGTGTGGACCTTCAGATGAATGCGGGTCGGGTCCCAAAACAATCCTACATGGGTCACCACTTGGTCAATATTGTTGTTCGAACTCGTAATTTCCTAAACCACCGTGTTTGACTCAGCCAAAAGGAATTCTAATATCTACAACGAGACATCGGGCAACAATAAACGCCCGTGACCGCTTGAGCTACGTAAGGTATGTAATGTACAAATTTAAGCGAAAACAGAAACCAAATATCAACGAGAAACGACAACGACTAAGATGAGAGGATATGTGGCTGTGTACAAAAATCATAACAAAAGCAAATGAAGTTGCCAAAAAAAGATGCCAAGCCCTTGCAGCCAACTCTGTCAAGCTTCCGAATCAGTTACTACCATATTCGAGAGTAAATGTAGACTCTAAAACGGGTCTTTCAACAACGCCTGTAAGCTTCTGCACCACCAGCCCATGCAAGCTTCATCTAGTAACATGAAGGAAAATGTGTTTCTATGATTCTATTTCTATCTAGCAACGGTAAACAACACACAACTTTTTGTCGTCATCACCTGAAAATCGCTCTGCATTAAGTACTTCAGTTGCTACCAGCAGCACTTCCTTCCCTCTAGTCAGGTATCTTCCCTTTCTCTTTTAGAATTTCGTTCAAGGGTTTCGGACCCTGGAAATCCACTGTAGTTCTTCTCGCACGTTTTGGTATCCCAATGCTACCCCCATTTTCTTCTGCTTTCCTCTTCTCTTCTCTGATCTGGGCAAGGCTCTTGGGTCCTGTAAAGCTAGTTGGCTGCCCTGCACATCTCTTCTCCCTTGGAAATGGTTTCTTCGAGATTTCGGACCAAGGAAACTGCTCCTCAGCCGGCCTTCTCTCCTTGTGATGCTTCTTCCTGGATCTATATTCCTGTGCATGCCTAAGCGAACCACGTTGAATTCCACCATTGGAGAAAGCTCCATTCCCCCTAGGTGATTCATAAGTGTTATTTCCCATTACTGATGCCAATCTTCTATGCAACCGCCTACCTAGTCCATGTCTTTGAGGCCTGCCAAACAATCCAAGTGATTCGTGCCTTCTTGATAAGCCATTAATTGAACGACCATCAGTCACTCTTCGCCTTCTGAGGCGGTCTCGGAGATCCAAAAAATCCTCGTCACCATCGAACAGTTCCCTTGGCATATGTTTCCTCTTGCTGGAAAACATCGAATCCGACATTCTCTCCTTCGTGTAGACAGGATTTGGTCCATGATTACCAAAAATAATCCTGGTATCCAGACAATCATTGTACATATCTCTGTCATGTAGAAGTTTAGCATCAGGATATTCGGGAACATACTCGTCTGGATTTTCAAAATCATGGCCCAAGAAGCGGCTATTCAGCTCCCTGTGCTCCCCGTGAAGTGTTGGAAAGTACTCCTGATCATCGTCACAACCCAAATTGTCTGATTTTCCATCAACAAGAACATCAAATCCTGGTGAGGATTCCCAGCGTTCCTCTGGCACAAGGTCATCATCTTCATCCTCTGAACTCTGATCTGTCCATGAATGAGATTTGGAACGAATAGAGCTATCTTCTGGAAGCGAGTCTGACCTATTTTCACCAGCCTCTTCATCTCCAGACATAGAAATCTGAGTACAGACGCTTTTCTGTGGAAAATCTCTTTGTACCCTCTGCTCAAAATAACTAAGATTCTCTTTGTGCTGGAATCTTGTACCAACTGTTGCCTTCGAGGCAGTTTCAGAAGGGTTGAGATGTGTGATTCTTGGCGCTGACATTGTGTCATTTCCTACAGATGCCTTGGTTTCTGAATTAAGTGCAAGTGCTTCGTTTCCTGCAGGTGCCTTGTTTTCTGAAGTGCGTGCAAGTGCTTCGTTTCCTGCAGGTGCCTTGCTTTCTGAGATGCGTGCAAGTGCTCCATTCCCTGCAGCTGCCTCATTTTCTGAAGTAAGTGCAAGTGCTTCATTACATGCAGAGGCTGTCTTTGAAGATTTCCCATTTGATGCGTTACCATCAGTATCATGCAAGAAAGAACATTTATCACCTTTGTTGCAGAAGCCATTGGAGTAAAAGTAACAAGGAACACTGGTCTTGTTTGAAGTTACAGATGGCGGGGAAGACTCTGATGGTGCTCCACCATGCCCATCCAACGGCTATCAAAACAGAAAAGTGTCAATTGGCATTGTCAAATGACCAAGGGATGGCAAAGATCATTAAAACAGTCATGAATCGATAAACGTTACATAAAACCATCTGAAAAGAAAAAGGTGGGTGTAAGCAAATCCTCAAGATATGATAGGGTATCAAATTTAGAATACAAATTAAATGTCAATTACTAGCACTAACTTAAATGTGCGTAAGTCGTCAACACATCAAGAGTTTCTGTCGCCCTAATGACATGTGATATGGAACTTAAAAAGGACAAACAATCAATGAAAAGATAACACACATGGAACCAGAAACATATATAAATTATTAAGAATATCGTTTTGACAAAAACATGTATTTTATTGTAAAACTGTAAGATCATCTTAAACATATCATGTTCTAGGTCCCAACCTACACATAACCTAGAAAGGAGAATCCATAAACCGAGGATAAAGAAATCAAGCACAGCACAATGATGTCGAGCACAGCACAATGATGCAGTTGAAAAAAAGAGAACAAGAGCGTACAGGGTGTCGAAAAGCACAGGTCGGATTGAGACAATTCCCAGCCAACCAGTACCAGCATTCCTTCGGGTTGAGCCTCGCAATCTTGCTGTGTCGAAACTCGCAATCAATTCCCTGAAAAAGAACACCACCACCAATGTCACTACTCAAACAAATATCACACTAAAATGTAGTAAAATTCAAAATAAATTCACTGCATACAGAACCCAGTTAAGAATGAACACTCGAAATCGATACATCAAACAATTGTAACCCTAGATCCTGCTCTTCTTTCAGAAACACCAAAACCCAAAAATCCTTCAAATGTAGGGCAAATCGCAACAAATGGAAACAAAGAAAGAACCCCAACTCGCACCACTGGACAAAATCAAACACAAAAGTAAAAATAAAAAAACGAAACGGGTTATTGTTTTTGTCGACGAACCTTCTTGCATGTGAGAGGAGAAGCCAAGAAATAGACGCAATCGGTGTTTCTCTTCACCAACTCTTCCTCCATTTTTCGAAGCGGAAATCAGAAGAAAATGGTGAGAGAGAAAAAATACTTGAAGAAAAATGTCGGAGTGGAGGGTGCTAACAAATGTGCATGGCCGCTAGTGCGGCGATGGCGGATGAGAGATCGGGAACGGAGAGAGTGAGGGAGGTTTGTGCTGTGCTTTCTGTGTGTCGTTTGGGTTTTGCTGTCTGTGGCGTTTCGGGTCCTTTGGCGCTGCGACTCCTCGTTTCGGTTTATATAGGCCCCTGCTCTTTTACTCGCTCTTTTTTAATAATTTTTTCAGGTAACCGTACACATATTAGATTTTCCTTTATAGCAAAAAATTAGCAGTGTCACGGTTTGCCGGTGGGGCAACCGTCCAGTCCGACGGTCAACTTCCTTACGCCTAACGAGTATAATGACTTGTTTACTTACAAGGTATATAAGTAACGTAATTTTCAACACACGGTTGCCCATGCATTTACGTTATACAGAATCAAACGATATGTAAGTTTCATTTTACAATCTGTGATTCAATACTCGAACATAATAGATCGAGTTGCATCAGGTTTGATACTCGTTTTCAAAATAGGAAATCATTTCCGCACACTTTCTTTTTCTCCATGCACACCTTATTTATTTCTGGCATTCCGTAAATGAATTCAATGAGAATCAATTTTGAAAATCAACGGCCAACTCAAATGGGCAATGCAAAAAATTTCGTAACACTATATCCTATTCAGTATTCTTCCCAAATTTATTGAATAAAAGTTTTCGAATTTGAGTTCGAGTTAGGTATGCTTCCTAAGAACACATTTTATTGTACAAAACTTGAATTAAAGCCCAGTGATTGCTTCTTAAAAGCTAAATCGTCCTCGATGAATCAAAATTTGTAAACCATTTCTTCAGTGTATCCAAGTTCTTTTAGTATGCCAGTGAGCTGCAACAAAACAGACAGAAACTTATGAGCAAACACAGAAGAAAAATAAGAGAAATGGTATTGGTTTTACAGCAAAATTAAAAACCAGGGCAGCGCATTTTTTTACCTCTCCTTGAGACCAGTCTTTGGCCTTGTCACCAGATATATGTTTCATCATCCCAGGAGGACCACACACCTGCACAAGCAAATGAAGGTCGATCGATGAGTTAATTGAAGTAGAAGTGACATCGACTAGTACATGGCGTCTCTCCAGTATGTGGTCCTTTGATATCAACAAGTACACTTACCAGGATGAGAGTATCTTCACCAGGAGCAGGTAAGCCTTTAACTGCAATGTCCTTTGATATGTAACCTTTTCCCCCTTTCCAACTCTTTGTTGGATTATCTACCGTGTAAAATACCTGCATTTTTGTTTTCAGAAAATAAAGCCTCATTTCATGGGATAAATACCCGAATTTGGAGTGATGCAGCGATGGTATCTTCCAATGAGACAAATTGTACCTTTAGATTTGGGTGGCTAGCTGCAAGTATGTCAAGTTTCTGTTTAAGCAGTATGTCATCTGGGGAGACGTTTGCATAAAGAAGCGACACCTAGGCATCATAAACCGTCAATTTTACACATATATTTAAGGGCAGTGTCATACAGTGATTAATCACATGGAATTGACTTTGTTGAATATCACAAATATATTTACACTGTTAGTATCATGTATATAGGTACACATATATTGATGAAACTGCAGTTGTGATCTTGTGATGTGACTGAAGACTAATGATATAGGCTATTGCTTACCTGAGTCGTGTCATCAGGATTTTTCAGTATGGCCTCAATAACCTGAAGCATTGGAGTAATACCCGAACCACCAGCAATCTGTAATACGGAATGAAATCGCACTTCAGACAAAGTGACTACACAGATTTATCATACACCGATGATCTTAACTTTTGTAAGTATTCACGTGATTAAACAGACAATGCAAAAAAGAACTGAACACCGCTACTGTAAATGCTAAGGTTAAAATGATGCAAATGCATGGAACCCACGAGAAATTTGTATAAAAGGTGGAGCAAATTTGTATGTCTTAAACATAGAATTCTATACAAGTCGCTCATACCATGCCTATATGTTTCTTCATGTTGGGAGTATATCTAAGTTTTTCAATGGGCCTGCAAGGAACAGATACACCTGATTAGAAGATGATTTAGAGCATATCCACTACTATTACTTGTGAATGTGGACAAATTACCCCTTCACTTCAACTACATCGCCTGGTTTTAAGCTTGCGAAATGTTGACTCATTTTTCCTTCTGGATACACCTGCGTAGAGTTTCAACAAAATGAAAGAAGCTTGAATTACATGATTTACATCTAAGGATCCATAAATCCTCAAAAATTTAACCAAAGCAGGAGAATAGGTGTATATAATTGACAGCATACCTTAATTAACAAGTCAAAGTATCCCTTGGAATCTGGATCTGAAATAGGAGTATACCTGAGCATAAAGGTAAGCCAAAATAAAATCAATCACCCATACAAATGGATGCAAGTAGAGAAATATTGAATTCAAAGACTTCCAAAGTTACATATTCAAGTCCTGAAATCGGGAGAAAATAAGATCAGCATTTGACATGCGGACAGAAAGAGACTTACGGGCGTATGACATATTTTGGTTTCCCTTCAGCATCTTGTCCTAATGGAGCCCTAGAGTACATGATCACAGGGACAAAAAAGTCAATCAATGTAGTGACAGACTCCTATCAATAGGGAATCTCAAGACAAAGCAGAGTAGCTATAAACAGAATACCTCGTAATGAGACATGAAGCAACATCTAAACCCAACTTAGCAGTTGGATCAAATGTAAACCTGCCAATTTTGGAGAAAACTAAGAAAAATCAGTCACATTAATGTTTAAACATTCTACGAGAACATAAATCAGGACACCTTACAAACTTTTGTTTATAGTGCTTCTGATCAATATAGAATTTCTTTCAAATAATAGTTACAAGGCTTCTGGAGAGAGCCTAGAGGACAATACCTGAACAATTGCGTATTGTGGCTAACCCTTGCAGTATCTTGCAACTTAAATTCAATCCACTTATCTGGATTAAGTGCTGAAAACACAGTAAACACATCTATTGAGCATGTTTCCATAAATTAAGCTTCAAACCATAAGTATTAGATACTTAAAAACAAAACTATGTTCATGATGTAAACAAAAGCCTTTCATTTAACTATTAGTCTTATCGAAAATTCCAACCAACACTCTTTTCGTAATGGTCATGTTCTCTGAGTGTTGCATGGGATGTGGAGTGAGAGAGACTCACCAACTTTTGGGCCAGCTTGTTCTTTGACTTCGTCTAGATAAGCCTGTGAAAAATACGAGTGTTTGTTTTTAATAAAGAAAAATGACTTTGAGACCTAAACTCTTAATGACAAATGAGTTGCTAGTATGGGCAGATCATCTAATATAACCTATACCAAAATGAGCAGGAAAACAACGAACAACCTTTCATCTCATTAGGAAGCTCAAATCCAAAAATTTTACGAAAATTGTAGTTTGCAAACGTATCACATGCAGGTTTCACTTAGAAGGGAAAATACATGCCTAAAATGAAACACCATCAACTCTGATATTCACATCACATAATATTTAGCCTTAAAAAACAACATGATCAAATTTCAACGATAAGAAAGAAAGATAATCCAACGATAAGGTATACGATCACGCACAGGGATAGATTATCCTGGGGTTTTTTACTTTTTCAAAGCTATAAGATGCAGGCATGTACTTTGTCTCAAAACACGAACCACCTTAAGCCTGAACAACCCCCTTGCTTTTCTTTCGTGAAAGTAGGAAAGACAAGAGAAAGCTGAATACGCACCCATTAGCCAACAAATATATAACTAATAAACCAACATACAAAATCCAAATTAGATAGACAGAAGCACACAGACAACCACAAACCCAGCCCTCTAATTTATAAATTATGAATAAATAAGTCAAATGTTGAAAACATGAATAAAATCATCACAAATAAACCCATTTCTTCAAATGCTTAATACCATCAAAAGAAATGAAATATTCGAGAAACCCAATTGGGAGCACCACTAAAATAACATCAGTATCACCGTAATTCAGAAAAATAATTACTGAGCTAAACCACATTGCTTCACAGATAAATGAACGATCTGATCAAAACCCAGATGAAATGAGCAGGAGAAATTACCAAATCCGGCGAGGAATAGTAGCAGAGGTAGGAGATTCCGCCGGAGACGGCTGCGACAGCTCCGAAGGGAATACGAAAGCTGGGCTTCGATTGGCCTCGGAACGAGCTGCTGAAGGCGATCGGCGCCGCCTTGGAGAGCCTCTGGAAGAAGGTAGCCATTTTTCAGTGAGGAAGAGAAGAAAATAGCTGCTTTCTTTCTACTCTGGCTCCTCTTTCGTCGGTAAATTCTACGTCTATGGCGTGGAAGTCAGTGGTTGGCGGGGCCGAACATCCCAACGGCCCAAGTTATGGATCGGATACTTATCACTGGGTGGGCCGTGAATTCAAATATGGGCCTGGTCTATTGAAGTGGAATCCAAATGGCTCATTGGTCGAACCTTAAGGCCGAACGTACTAATCCCATGTGGTTTATGGGTCCATGAGGTGATATGAAAATATAGTATAAGAACATGGTATGAATAGCATTACTGCACTTGAAATATCACATTTGTTGGGTTATCAGGGCCACTTGAGTTGTGTAGCAAAGTAAACGGTTTGATCTGTTGAAGAATATCGGTGTAGAGTAGTAGTGAATCATTTGACCGACTCTGAAATTTTGACGCTAAGCAGTTTGATGGATCTTCTCATGTGTTATTTATAGATGTTCATACTGTTCGTTGTGCTTCCTTCACGTCGATGAGTGTGTGGCCCGGGAGCACAGGGAAGCAAAGTTGAAGCCACTGGAAAAAGGACATGTAAGGATTGGAGTGCTTCCTGCAGATGCAACTTAGCCCTAGTTTGGTACTGAGGTGATTCTGAAAAAAGTGGCTATCAAAAAAAACTGAGAGTTTTTTTATGTTTGGTAAACATTCAGCTTCAGCTTTTTTTCATAGTTTTGGATGAAAAAAAGCTAAAAACACAAAGCTGCAAAACGCAGCTTTGAAAAACCAGCATTTTTCACATCTATTTTACATAAAAGTTTATCAAACTACTATAATACTGCTTTTTTTGTTCAAAAGCACTTTTACAAAAAAGTTTACCAAATACTCTGCTGCTTTATTTCACAGCTACTTATTCTCACAGCACAGCAGAAACAATTTTTTTTCAAAGCACATCAATACCAAACCAGCCCTTAGATGGCTGGTTTTCACCAAGAAAAGTTACAAAGTCAATTTTGTTAATTTATTGTTACTTTCTTGCTTACATATTTATCAAAAATATGTGAAAAGCTGGAAGATATCAATTCCGATTTTCTTTTCTTCGAAAACTTCACTTGCGTTTTAAGTCACCGGCGAAAACGTTTTTCTAGTCTCATGGCAATGAACAGGGGTTTGAGGTTGTGGTACCCTGACACACAAAACATGGAGCATGTGTTGATTCCGGCAATTGAAAGCGATAAAAATACGGGACATGGAGGGGGCACGAAACCCCGTCAAGAATTGCAGTCCAGGTCCTGCTGGTGAGGGCGGTGAACGTCGTGATCATTGTTTCAGAGGAGTTGCAGGCCGTTCTGCCTCCGGACAATCTTCTTCTTAAGAAATGTATCCATCCCATGGATCGCTTTGGCTAGGTCAACGATAAAATGGGCAATGGTCACCGGCAACGGTGGATAAGAGATCGGAGCAAACATGGCTAAATAAAATGTATATAATCTGGGTGGCTTTGTGCCATGTTTCTCTTCTTTTCTGAAGATATTAGCAATCTTGAAATCAACTCAGATGAAACTTCTTGTAAAATCAACTTCTGGTTTGAAATATATACTCAGATTTATGAGTTACAAGTGGACAGCCAAAATGTCATCAAATAAAAATTGAACAATAAACTTTTACAATGATCGAATGATGTGAATCTTGAAGAAGAAGAAAATTCAAACATCCATAACCCTGTACCATCCAAATCAACATATATCTGAGCTTATTTGATTATCGAAAGACTATTTGGAGTACGGATGAAAAGAATTGAACCATGCTACAAATTCGAAGTAGAACCACTAGATTGTTTTAGAGCTGCGGCACCATCGGTTCCATCCTGATAGGCCCATGAAGAGATAAGGTGATGGGCAATTGCAAATGGCCCGGGTATAAACATGGAGGCGAGTTCGCCACTTTCAACGTTGAAGTCGGCAGACAAGCTCTGCTCTTTCTCTACTCCTTTGCACATCTGTTCTACCCTTGATGCCGCCGTTCTCTGTGCCTTCTTGTACTCGGCAAATGTCAAGGCTCTCTTCACATCTTCTCTGCTGTGCCACTGAGCATCTAGTTAAACAAAAATTTTAAGGAGAAAAAAATATTAGAAATTCATCTGATCGGCTGCGTACAAGGTAGCTCTTATGACTATCAGATGCAATGCCTCGCATAAGTACTATATTCTTACAGTTTTTTCACGGGAAACGTTAATTTCAGTACAGAGCAAAGGGGAAACATGATCGAAGGTCCAATAAAATTGTAAATATAGGCTAATTTAGTGGGTACCTTCCAACTCTTCCTTGTCCACATTTATTTCAAGCGACTTTGCATATGCAAAAAACCCAACCATCAACTGGCACGGCATGCTACTTGGTCCAACTGGAAACAAACCAGAACAGGAACTCAATCAATCAACATAAAACAAAGAAAGAACTCCATATGGGCTGTACAATAATCTGTAAACAACACACATACACAAAGTTTATACCAGGCCATGGCTGAGAGCTATGATAGACGACTTCTCCTACTTCAATTCCGGTCTCCTCCCACGTTTCTCTCCTCACTGCTTCTTCTAAGCTTTCTCCTGGCTAAGGACAACAAAAGGATCGAAACTAGTTAAACTGTTACGGACCTCCCGAAAGTGAGCATTGATACTGATATTAAAACTATTAAGTGTTAACAAAGAGTGATATATCCCATAGAGCTTACCTCTATAAAACCAGCTAAGCAGCTCCACATTCGAGGTACAAATCGAAACTGTCTACTTAATAGAGCACGGTCATTCTCTCTATCAATGACTAACATTATGACAACCTGTTCAAAAGGTAAAGGTATGGGAAAACTAAACAAGAGGTTGAACCAATGCTTGAAATGGAAACTCACAAGTACAACCATACCGGGTCAACACGAGGGTAGACCCGCTTTCTGCACTGCTCACTAGAACATTGCTTCCGCCTCCCAGCTTCCTTGGGGACTGTTTTTTCTCCACAATGTCCACAAAACTGTGATATGCTATGCCATTCTAGCAAAGCCCTGGCCTGATCACACCAAAATCATTCAACATATCTTAAACCATTTCCAAAACCGATTGAGACCATCATACAACTGGTGCACGGCAATAACAAACTTCAACAGGTTCATTCACTAAACATACCAAAGACATTCGCATTGCAATTCAAAGAACTTGATCTCACTAACATGTCAATTTTAAAATATTAGGCATTCTTAAGCACTTTTGAGCAGAAGCACTTACATGTCCAGCAATAGCCAACTCCCCCATAGCTCGAGCATCAGCCCAATCAGTAGCCACCATAAGCGTCCTCAGCTCAACAAAACACAATTGCTTGCTACCCAATTCAGTAACCAAGTTACTCTGAGCAGAAACATCAATTGCCCAATAAACGACATCGTCTTCGGGCCGAGAACCCAGATAAACCAGCGACTCTCCACTCAGCTGAACCCCACAATTGGCCAGGAAACCTTTACACTCAGACAAACTGATCCAACCCAGATGCCAATTTGGCGCGGAATCGCCGGCCCCAACGCTTGAGGAGGCTAAAGGCCTGCCCTTTCTGAAGGGCAGAACCTTGAAGCCGAGGGAAGAGGGCAATTGGGCCCCTTCCAAAAGTTGGGTCTTGAGGGTCTCGAGGGCTTGGGATGGTGAAAACGGGTCGCTGGGATTTGGGGTCTTGGATAGCAGAGGATTGCCAGCGAAGGCGTGGGACTGGAGGCTTATGGACATGGTGGCGGCGGCGGTGGAGGTGGAAGAAAGAGCTCGTCTGGTCAGGGTGTGGAGATTGGATTTTGTACAGAAAGAAAGGAGGTGAGTGGAAGAAGAGAGGAGATAGAGCCTGACCATGCTTCCATTGCGTGGTGGCGGTTTTAGAGGAGAGAGAAGGAAAGCAAACGGAGGTAGGTGGTGACTAAGGAGGCTAGAGTGACGACAACTGTCACCGATTGAGACGCACAGCTGCCGGTGCCCGGTGCCGTGAGACAAGGCCACACACAAGTGCAATTTACAGAAAGCCCAAGTGGTAAACGGGAGCCTTCAATATTTGGACTGGACCCCTTCTTCGGGCCCTCTCAGTAATTTGAAGAGAATGAGCTTATTTTTATTAAATATTAGTTAAGTCAGTTACATTTTTCAGAAAGGTATTCGAATTTGAGTTGTCATTAAATTATTTTTTAAAATTAAGTATCAAACTCGTCATTAAAACGAGTTAAATATGAGAGTTCACTGATAAGTGAATATAACAACACTAGATTGAAAGCTAATAGTTGAGTCATCCTATTTAAAGTGGTATAAAATATTTACATTATCATAATAATATTTCATTTGCCTTTAGCAACTTATGGCCCATGATATGCTATTTTTGGTCACATGAGAACTTGATAACTCCTTTTCTTCATGAGTGAGATTGGGAGAAGGGAAATTGAACATAAGAGTTATAATTTATAGTTTTCTTTCGGGGGTTCGAGGCCTTCAGGCTTGTTGTCCACTGGGAGTTCACTTCTGGGTGCACAAACTTAGAGTTTTCTTTATAACATGTCATTATAATCTAGTGGCATTCATCTTTACTTGTAAGTGAAAGGTTTTAAGTTCAATTCTCGCCAAAGGCGAATTTGAGCCACATTATTGCTAGCCCATTATGAGTTTGAGCCTACCCCTCTCCTCTCAGTGTAGATAATATCAATTGTTAAAAAAAAAACTAGGAAAATGGAAATTGAACATAAAAGCTTTATTCACAGTCATTAATGTCTTTTTATAAATAAATAAAAACAATAGTGTTGTAGGCCTATTTAACTAAGCTATCTAAGGAATAGAGAGAAAGGAGGCCGGTGGCAACAAGAGAGAATGAGAGAGATTTAATTATGAGGTGTGTGTTGTATCACCCCCTTATGCCTTTATTTATAGTAGTAAGATGGGTAGAATCCTTACCTTTTTAGGATTACATCTCTTAATAGGTAATCAACTCCTAATAGAATAAACTAGACACTCCTAGATATACCAGGATTTACACAATCACATTTATTATCCGATAAGACTGTAACATTCCCCCTTGAGTGTGTAAATACTCAAACAAAACATCGCATTAGATCTTCAGCAGATGAGGTAGAACAGTTGATGAAGTCGTCGGCATAACGGGTGAACACAAGTCTCAAAGACAAGTAAGTACGTATGCATTGGTAGTAAAACTCACAAAACCTCGCTATGGTAAAACCCAAGGCATGTGGAAAACCCATAAACTAAGGAGAAAAGTGAGAAGTATGCATAATGTCTAAAACAAATGTCAAACAGGACGAAAGTAGTGAACTCAACGGAGTATGATCGTCCCAAGATGGGTGCTTAGTTAAAACCTCGTTAGGTAACAAACACCCAGTGGGAAAAATGCTTCTAATCGTAGGAAAAAAAGTACATTAAGTTTAAGTGAGTATGCTTTAGGATACTCCTCGTGAGTTAGACATAACTTATGAATAAGAGAACTATAAGCAATTCAATTCAAATAATGTACGTATACCAATTCCTTGGACGAGCTTTCAAAAAGTAGACTTGGGTAATGACTTCGTGAGAAGGTCGGCCAGGTTGTCTTGTGAACGGATTTGCTTGACTTTGATGTTCTGATGCTGGTGTTGCTGGTAAGAATAAAAGAACTTCGGCGCTATGTGCTTGGTGTTGTCTCTCTTGATGTATCCCTTCTTTAACTGCTCGATACATGTTGCATTGTCTTCAAAGATCGTCGTAAGGTCAACGATGGAAAAAAGATCAATAGTGCTTCGAATATGTTCCATAACTGTTCTCAACCAAAAGCACTTTCACAAGGCTTCATGCAGGGCGAGAATCTCAATATGGTTCGAAGAAGTCGCAACTAGTGTTTGCTTGGTAAACCTCTAAGATATAGCAATGTCTCCAACGGTAAAGACATAACCCATTTGAGAACGTGCCTTATATGGGTTAGATAGATAACCAACATATGCATAACTAACAAGGCGTGAATCAACTCAAGGACTGAGGAGGGGGCGACGACTCCTCTCAAGGATTTGTGGGTGTAAAATAAGCCCAAATCCATTGTACCCTTAAGGTAGCGAAAAATGTTTTTAACACCAATCCAGTGTCTGCGTGTAGGCGCATTGTTGTATCTAGCCAAAAGATTAACAGCGAAGGAGATGTCAGGTCTAGTGCATTGAGCAAAATACAATAAAGCACCAATTGCACTTAGTTATGGAACTTTAGGCTCTAAAATCTCTTCATCATCATCATTCAGATGGAAGGGATCTCGTTTAGCATCTAGAGTCCGAATGACCATAGGAGTACTCGAAGGCTTCGTTTTATCCTCATTAAAACGTCGCAACACATTCTGGGTGTAGTTCGATTGATGTACTAGGATTTCATCCGAACAATGCTCGATCTTCAAGCAAAGACAATATCGATTTTTCCCACGATCTTTCATCTCAAATTCCGATTTCAAGTACGTGGCAATTTCATCAAGCTCTGCAAGAGTTCCAATGAGGTTCATGTCATCGACATAAACTGCAATGATTGCAAATCCAGAATGTGACTTCTTAATGAACATGCTTGGGAATAGTTCATTGTTCACATAACCCTGATTTGTCAAATACTCACTCAGACAGTTATACCCATCCGCTTGGATTGTTTCAATCCGTATAGCAACCTCCTCAATCTAATTGAGAGAGTGTTCCGTGGTCTAGAACTATTTGAACCAGTCAATGGAAGTCATTTTAGAACTTTCATGTACATTTTCGTATCTAGATCCCCATAAAGATACACGGTTATCACGTCCATAAGCTGCATATTCAGTTTTTCGGAAACTACCAAACTGATAAGGAAATGGAACGTTATGACGTTTATTACAGGGGAATACATCTCCTCGTAATCAATCCCAAGGCGTTGAGAGAAACCTTGCGCTACGAGGCGTGCTTTGTATCACACTATTTCATTCTTCTCATTACACTTCATCTCGAAAACCCATTTGTAGCCTACAAGTTTCACATGTGGTGGAGTAGGAGTTACAGGCCCAAACACCTTTCGTTTCACAAACGAATCAAGTTCGACCTAGATTGTTTGTTTCCAATTTGACCAATCTGTTCTACGTCGACATTCATCAACGGAGCTTGGTTCAATGTCATCACTAAACATAATGTCAGAAGCAACGCTATACGCGAATGTCATCACTAAGCATGTGTATCCTTCATCTGCGATGGGGATACACATGCTCTGATGCCCCATTCCTTAATAGTTAGCCCCCTTGTCGATGGCCTCCAACCTTTCCTCTTTCCACTACCCAAGCTGCTACCTTCACCCTTTGCCCTCTTGTTATACTCTCTAAAGTTGGCCATCGGGCCCTCGGCTGCCCGATTTATTCCCAACTTCCCAAAGACAGCATTAAAATGGTTTTTCCTGGTACCCCACTCAACTAATTGCGGGAGTGAATTTTGCAAAGCAGGTAGGTTGGGAACAATAGGCCTTATCCCTAAGATTTCAGTTTCAATATTTGGCATGGTCGCCCCAATCTCTCCAATAGTTTGCCTAGCCTGCCTTTGAGTCAGGCTATCACTGATCAAAAGTTGAGGCCCAGTAGATTGTGGCGACTTCTGTATCTCGTGCCCAGCACTGCTATTCGGGCAGGCCCGTATAGTAAAGCTTCCCTCCATAGCCGTGGCTTGCCTTCTCTTCTTACTCTCTCCAGCACACCTCATCTGTCCTTGAAAAATCACCTCCGGTCTGGTAATCTCTTGCACATCCCGAACCATCTTCGTTTACGTCCAATCACCATACCCCGCAACACTATTCGTGTTTGGTTGAAAAAAGCATTCAGCACTTTCATGTCCGATTCTCCCACATTTGTAACAAAAGTTCTGCAGTATTTCATAGCGAAATTCCACCCATGAGTCTCGATCCTCTTGCTTGGCCAACCAACATCCAGCTGGTAATGGGTTTGTAGTACCATCACCCTTGCGCTAAGGAAAACCCCTAGCATGTGCCAAGTCCTCCACCACCAAGACTTCCCTGATTTTTCCTGCAATTCGCTGTGCATTCTCATAAGAGCTAAGATACATAGGGACCCCTTTCATTTGGACCCAAAATGGGACCATTTGCATCTTAATTTCTTCCAATGCTATATCACTCAACCATCTCTTTACGGAGAAGTTTTGCTTCATCATAGCCCATGAAACCTAATTGAGAATCTTTGATGCCATGTCCTCGTCTTTAGCTATCAGGCCCGGCCTAGGCCCAGTGCAGGCAGGGTGACCGTCCGAGGCCCAAAAAAATTGGGGGCACCAAAATTATTAGGGTGATATATTTATGTTTTTATAAGTGATGCAGGACAGAACCAAGGGTATCGAGGAGAGGGGAATAGATAACCTGGGATTCACTCAACCAGGGGTAACGGAGCTCGCTCACGTCACTAATTGTGGATTCGCTCACATGACCAAACCAAATGCTTGATTGGAGAAGGAGAAATCACTCACTTCAATTGCACAAAGCAAAATATATTTTAATTCATTCAAGTCTCGCCCCAAAGGCTTTTGATACATCAATATTTAAAGGAACTCAAGATAAAGGGGCATAAATATACTACAACTTCCTAAGAAACTCTCTAAAAATGACTTAACAAGTTCCTATGTCATTAAAATACACAGCCTTATTATTCCTATGCATTATAGTGGTCTTCAAATTGTTTTCTTCAAGGTCTGCCTCCCGCATCAATAAGAGTATAAATTATAAAATTTGGTTTAGTGACAAAGAAATTTAACTAGAATTGGTGGTTTTGTTGTTTAAAATGAATGAAGATGTCTTAGGTTCAAAACACCATGTGTACTTATTTACATTCCAATTTTTACAAATTTCTTTTCATAACAATATAAATTTATAAAATTTGGCTAAATGATCGAGAAGTTTAATTAGAAGCAATGGTTATTGTTGTTTATAATTAATGAGAGGTCCTAAGTTCAAAATAGGTACATGTTTATTTTTTTCAATTTTTACAAATTTTTGTTTGGTTGTTAATTTATTTACTAGCTAGTAGCTATAGGGGTTGCTATTTTTAAATATCTGTTCCAATTGAAGTCTAATCTTCAACAAAAAAATAATGCGTAGACTAAATTTTTAGACCAAATTTCCAAATAATATTACGTGTCCTTAAAAGGTTTTATTTAGTGTTCATTCATTACTTATATATATCCTTAAAGACTCAAAAACATTAATATTTTTTTAGTCTTATATTGACGAGGTTAGTAAATAAGAAAAAACAACTCACGATTTATATAAAAACACTTTAAAAGTTCAGATGGAAAACAAAACTCATATTCTATCTACTTAAAAGCCCGAAGTTTTTTAGTTCCCTTCTCTTGATACAAAATAAATTAATTATTCCGTATTTCTAAATTATTGAGTTTAAAGTGTTTTTCTAAATATAATTTTATCGATGTTTTACGTATGAAAACAAATATTTTTTTTATATGAAATAAAGGCATATTTTTTGACGTCGCCCTGAACTTCAAAAATCTCTGGACCGGCCCTGCTAGCTATGATGATAAAGGTATTCTCTTAGATGGCTGGTTTTTACCAAGAAAAGCTACAAAGTCAATTTTGTTAATTTATTGTTACTTTCTTGCTTACGTATCTATCACAAATATGTGAAAGCCTGGAAGATACCAATTTCGATTTTCATCGAAAACTTCACTTACCTTTTAAGTCAGCGGCGAAAACATTTTTCTGGTCACATGGCAATGAACAGGGCTTTGAGGTTGTGGTACCCTGACACACAAACCATGGAGCATGTGGTGATTCCTGCAATTGAAAGCGATAAAAATACGGGACACGGAGGGGGCACGAAACCCGTCAAGAATTGCAGTCCAGGTCCTGCTGGTGAGGGCGGTGAACACCGTAATCATTGTTTCAGACGAGTGGCAGGCCGTTCTGCCTCCAAACAATCTTCTTCTTAAGAAATGTATCGATCCCATGGATCGCTTGGGCTAGGTCAACGATAAAATGGGCAAGGATCAACATATATCCGAGCTTATTTGATTATCGAAAGACTAGTAGTCCGGGAATTTGGAGTACGGATGAAAAGAATTGAACCATGCTACAAATTCGAAGTAGAACCGCTAGATTGTTTTAGAGCTGCGGCACCATCGGTTGCATCCTGATAGGCCCATGAAGAGATAAGGTGATGGGCAATTGAAAATGGCCCGCGTATAAACATGGAGGCGAGTTCACCACTTTCAACATTGAAGTCGGCAGACAAGCGCTGCTCTTTCTCTACTCCTTTGCATATCTGTTCTACCTTTGATGCCAACGTATTCTGTGCCTTCTTGTACTCAGCAAATGCCAAAGCTCTCTTTACATCTTCTCTACTGTGCCACTGAGCATCTAGTTAAACAAAAATTTTAAGGAGAAATAAACATTAGAAATTCATCTGATCGGCTGCGTACAACGTTGCTTTTATGACTATCAGATGCAATGCCTCGCATAATTACTACATTCTTGCAGTTTTTCCACGGGAAACATAAAAGGGGAAACATGATCGAAGGTCCAATAAAATCGTAAATATAGGCTAATTTAGTGGGTACCTTCCAACTCTTCCTTGTCCACACTTATTTCAAGTGACTTTGCATATGCCAAAAAGCCAACCATCAACTGGCACGGCATGCTACTTGGTCCAACTGGAAACAAACCAAAACAGGAACTCAATCAATCAACATAAAACAAAGAAAGAAATCCATATGGGGTGTACAATAATCTGTAAACAACACACATACACAAAGTTTATACCAGGCCATGGCTGAGAGCTATGATAGACAACTTCTCCTACTTCAATTCTGGTCTCCTCCCACGTTTCTCTCCTCACTGCTTCTTCTAAGCTTTCTCCTGGCTAAGGACAACAAAAGGATCGAAACTAATTAAACATGTTACAGACCTCCCGAAAGTGAGCATTGATACTGATATTAAAACTATTAAGTGTTAACAAAGAGTGATATATCCCATAGAGCTTACCTCTATAAAACCAGCTAAGCAGCTCCACATTCTAGGTACATATCGAGACTGTCTACTTAATAGAGCACGGTCATTCTCTCTATCAATGACTAACATTATGACAACCTGTTCAAAAGGCAAATGTATGAGACAACTATACAAGAGATTGAACCAATGCTTGAAATGGAAACTCACAAGCACAATCATACCGGATCAACACGAGGGTAGACCCGCTTTCGGCACAGCTCACTCGAACATTGCTTCCGCCTACCGGCTTCCTTGCGGACTGTTTTTTCTCCACAATGTCCACAAAATTGTGTTATACTATGCCAATCTAGCAAAGCCCTAGCCTGATCACACCAAAATCATTCAACATCTCTTAAACTATTTCCAGAACCGATTGAGATCACCACACAACCGGTAAACAGAAATAAAAAACTTCAATTGGTTAATTCACTAGACATACCAAAGACATTCGCATTGCAATTCAAAGAACTTGATCTCACTAACATGTCAATTTTAAAATATTAGGCATTCTTAAGCACTTTTGAGCAGAAGCACTTACATGTCCAGCAATAGCCAACTCCCCCATAGCTCGAGCATCAGCCCAATCAGTAGCCATCATAAGCGTCCTCAGCTCAACAAAACACAATTGCTTGCTACCCAATTCAGTAACCAAGTTACTCTCAGCAGAAACATCAACTGCCCAATAAACGACATCGTCTTCGGGCCGAGAACCCAGATAAACCAGCGACTCTCCACTCAGTTGAACCCCACAACTGGCCAGGAAACCTTTAAACTCAGACAAACTGATCCAACCCAGATGACAATTTGGCGCGGAATCGCCGGCCCCACGGCTGGAGGAGGCTAAAGGACTGCCCATTCTGAAGGGCAGAACCTTGAAGCTGAGGGAAGAAGGCAATTGGGCCCCTTCCAAAAGTTGGGTTTTGAGGGTCTCGAGGGCTTGGGATGGTGAAAACGGGTCGCTGGGATTTGGGGTCTTGGATAGCAGAGGATTGCCAGCGAAGGCGTGGGACTGGAGGTTTATGGACATGGTGGCGGTGGCTGCGGCGGCGGCGGGGGAAGAAAGAGCTCGTCTGGTCAGGGTGTGGAGAGTGGATTTTGTACAGAAAGAAAGGAGGTGAGTGGACGAAGAGAGGAGAGAGAAGGAAAGCGAACGTAGGTGGGTGGTGACAAACTACTAAGGAGGCTGGAGTGATGACAACTGTCACTGATTGAGACGCACAACGGCCTTTAGCAACTTATGGCGCGTGATATGCTCTTTTTGACCACATGAGAACTTGGTAACTGCCTTTTCTTCGTAAAGTGAGATTGAGAGAAGCAAAATTGAACATAAGAGTTACAATCTTACAGTTGGGGGGTCGAGGCCTTCAGGCTCGTCGTCCCCTGAGAATTCACATCTAGGCGTACAAACTTAAGAGTTTTCTTTATAAAAGAGACTAGGAGAATGGAAATTGAACATAAAAGCTTTATTTGATCTTTCAAAAAACAAGAGCTAGTTTTGGCAACATTATTAGAACAATCTCTATTGAGGATAGAGGAACCAATACTATAAATAACAAGAACCAGAAACCTATAGACCTGACCAACAGACAATGATCAAACGCCGTAATCAAATTATCCTCTAACAGCAAAAATTTCGAAACTTGGCACCAGCACTCTGGAATTCTTGAACCAACTCAAAAATGCCTCCGAGATAAGAGCTTGAACTCAAATTTAGCTCTCGACTAAGTTGTGCTGGTGCACCAGCGGAACATCATCAAGCCAGTCAGCGTATATGCGATTGATCTTCTTGGACCCTTTCCATTTTAGCATGCCCTTCTTCCTCTGCCCCCCATCGTTGTTTAAAGCAGGAAGTGCTGCTATTGCGGTTGCGGATGAGTTGACAGCAGCAACAACTTGGGGTATCGGAAGGGGAGGGGTATTCAGAAATTCTGCCTCAACGGTACGTCCACCGGGCGCTTGCAACTCTGAAATCAAAAGTCAATATTAGAAAACCAGTATTAGCATCAAAAGGGCAGTTCCCACATTTTTTTAACCTTCTCTTTAATCACCTTCCTCAACATTTACAAACAAACTCGATACACAAACATCTTAAAAGAAATCCCTAATCATCTAATGGCATGCCATTCGCATAAAACAAATAAACGCTACACAGCCATAGATTGCTTGTTAACATATATACCGAGTACACGACAAAATATACAATTTCCAGAGTAGGCATTAGGAATACCAAAGTTCAAAATCACACCAACAACCACACAATATACTCGTGCATAGGCCTTGAAATAAGAATCAAGGAAATGCACGCATGACCGAAACAGTTTCCTTTGAAATGAAATGGAATAATTACCCGAAGCATCAATTTACAAAGGAACCTCTGTTACCCTGTATTCGGAATTCAATCTATGAAACAACATTGCCAGTCAGCTTATGTGTCATTCAAAACGAAACCTACATGCTTTAAGTAATAGCACCATTGCTCCTCTAACCTCATCTACAAATCGCAGTAAAATGCCAGGACTCCTATTGCAAAAGCTAACAATGATTCAGTTCCAAATACGATTGTCAGCCTAAATTTAAAGTCTAACATAGATTTGATATTAAAATTGATCATACTAAGCAGAGAAGCAAGCATAATGATAACTGTTAATTTAAGATACCAAGCACTAGCACTGAGAACCTGTTAGCCCGTGAGCAAAGTGACATTTCTCGCTGAAGGGGCATTTACCCGTTGTCTCCCACTTATTACATAACTTTGTCTTCCAATACACTGGCTTCACATTTCCCCGGGAAGCATCCATACCCGCGTTTACAAGCCTATTTTCCTCAGGAGGATTAGAGCCACTCCCATGAGCCACTGGTGCTCCTGTAGTTCCAATGCTTATTGCTGTGTTCTCCCTAAACCTACCCGAATCATCCCTAAACTTTGATGGCTCTTCATGAAGAAAGTTACACCTATCTCCATAAGGACACTCCTCACCATTATAAAACTTCTTGCACAGCTTCATCCTGTGGATTATTTTCTGATCATCATCCCAATTACCAGACAATGGCCGATCCTCATCACGTATGGAAACAAGTTCTTGCCAATTGGGCGGGGGATGGCGGATATCTTCAATGCCATGTGCATAGTTACAATTCTCACCATTCCTACACATACCGGATTTAAAATTTACACACAAACGGGTCTTATAGAAAATGTTGCTTGCTCCCTTGTTAACTGGGGCACTCGGCTGCTGAACCCTATAGTTCATCGGCGGGTATGGCATCGGATTCGATTGGCGTTCTTCAGAATTCCTAGCCCTTTTAAAAGGTTGCTGCTCAACCTGAGAATGCTGGTCATCATTGTTCATTGAAAACGCAGGCGGCCAGCAATTAACCACGTCACTGCCACCGCCATTGTAAGGCGTTTGCGGTGGCCTAAATTGTGAGTGATCAGAAAAATTCATACCTCAGAAAACTACTCTAGAGCGGAAACTTTCCTCTGTAAACCAATCAAATAAAGATCAAAACTTTCAATCCCCCAACAAATCCTATACAAATTCAATGTATGATAGCAAGCAAGAATCAAAGAACTGCACCAGATAACACAATCAGATCAACAGGCAGAGTCCAATTCCAGAAAACCCAAATCACAAAACCTGTGCAAAATCCCAAATTTATTCACAAACCCACCAACCCTGATGAGGGGGATGATCAAAGTTCACAACTTGGAGTGTCAAATTTGATCAAGACACCCAGAGGATAACTGGGGCTAAAAAACCAAATTGGAGTTGGAGAAATGAACTTTTATATCAAAGGACAGGGAACGCATAAAGCCTGGAAGCAATAGGATTTGCAGAGAAATCAAATTGTAATTGGGATTGAGTCAAAACCTAGCCGCCAAAAAACCCTAATTTGAGAAGGGGAATCGGTGAGCACTACTGGCTCTCTGAGTCCCACCCACGACTACTGAGTGGGCGAAGAGTTGTGTAAGACGGCCTTAAACCCCTAAACGCGTCCCAAAACCCTGCGATTTCGGGGTGAAAAACCGACGGGGATTGACTTGGCTAAGTGGTAGTCACGGCTGCAGTAAATTTTTGTTTAACCTTTTGTAAATGCACGTACGGAGGAGGGTTGGTTACGTCACCTGCGGGGACTACTAATTTTGTGGGCCATCCACCTTTGGCTTTCCACGTATGTCTTCCTGGGTTTTCACCTTCTCTTTCCATTTTCCATTTTTTGCTTTAGCTTTTTCTTTTAGATCAACTCCAATGTGGGCTAAAAGTCAAATTATTTTTCAAAATTTCCTCCCAAACCCACTCCAACCTAAGGGAAAATTTTATACTAAATGCTAAATGCTAAACCAATGCCAAATTTCCCCCAAAATTTAGCTCAGAAATAGAAATGGACTCCACCCAATATTTATTGGAATTTAAATTTTTTTAGATTAAAATGTTCATAAAATTAATTTACGATAGTTTACATATTTATTTATTTTTTTAAATTTAATTTAACAAAAAAATATTCTAAGTTCATTCTTTAATAATCCGTGTGACATCCCGTCCCGAGATTATAAAAACGTATGTGTGAATTTACCTTTTTACCCCTAGTTCGTTACATTTACGTTTAGTGTTGGTTGTGTGGTGTGGCATGTGTTGGACCACACACACACACTCACACACACTGTCTCTCACTCTCCCGTGTTTTCCTCTCCCTCTGTCTCTTTTCTGTCACTTTTCTCTCTCTCTCTCTCCCGAGCTCCCATTTCTTCTTCTTCCTTCTGAAAACGTACGGACAACACACACATCACCCAAACCTTGATGGATCGAAGGAACCAAGGGCATTTTTGGACTCGTGAAGCTCGTACGAGTGCAACCATACCATTTTCAGGTGAGAAATCCTTCGTTTTCATGTCGATTCGAGGTAGTCCGATTTAGGTACTATTCATGCAAACTTACACTAGCGTGTTTTTGGGATTTTTAAGCTTGTAGATGTCTTAGTGAGGTCCCAAGGAGCCTCGGAATACTTCGTTGGAGAAGTTTGGACGTCGGGATCATTGTGGTCAAAGTTGGCCGGAGCTTTCGAGGCTTTTTCCGGAGAATCCACGGCGAGTTAGGGGTCGAGGCAGGTATGGATGTGTTCGTCTCGTCAATACCTTCATTTTGATATATAGTACGTCGAAAATGGTTAAGAAATGAAGAAGTTATGACACTTTGAAATTTACCCAGAAATTCCGGCAAAACACCAACTCCGGCGAAACCAGTCCGGCGACGCGAGGAAGAAGACGCGCGCGTGGGCAGCGCGTAGACGGGGCGCGTGGGGGCGCGTGCGTGGTCCGAATTGAGTTCTAAAAATTGTCACGCGTTCGTGACGTCGTGTAGATCACCGTGGTATATTCATACACCCAAATTGAGCAACGTATGAGAAAGTTATTGACGAATGTTTGGTGTATGCACGTTAAATAACGATAATTTGGTTACTTTTTGTATAGGTGAAAATTATACAGAAGAAGAATGTAACCAATCTAGGGGAGGCTCAGGGACCTACGAGACGTCGATGTGATCTGTGAGTGGGCAGTTTTGTTTTCCATATATATATACTTGACGTATTTCCCAGAAAACGTATTTTAAAAGAAATACGAATTAAATATCCTGTCATACATGCATCATATTTTAATATGTGCATTACCATAATTATGCATACTGTTGCATGGTGCTGAGGAGGCCCAGGTAAGCTACATTTGATATACGTATGAAATACATTCGATATACGCATGAAATACGTTTGGTATACGATTGAAATACTATGGAAATACAAATGAAATATGAGTGTGATATGATTGAGATGCGATTTTGACATGATCGAGATATGTTTGTGATATAATTGAAATATGATTGTGATATGATTGAAATACGATTGAGATATGAAGAATGAGTAGCTTGAGATGCTTAGAGAGCTCATAACCTGATCCCCGGTGTTAGTGCTCGCCCTGAGCAGGGCCAGTCCTTCACGTGATGTTCACCTCCCCGCACCTTATGCTCAGCTTGGATCCAAGCTAGGTGCATAGCCTGTCGTACAGACCACAAGAGGTGGTTCCGACTCGTAGGTGACGTGCGATTATTCGCCCAGTCTTACGTGATCGTAGCACTAGAACGTATATATACGTAACACCCAGGCCTGTCGTACAGACCACATTAGGTGGTTCCGACTCGTGGGCAGGTTCAGTTGTTTAGTTATTGTGAGTATGATTTGAGCTCTATATGCAGCCGTACAGGTCACGTTAGGTGACTCCGGCTGCCAGATGTTATGTTGTTGATGTGATGAGTTGATTATGAGCTATATATGCAGTCGCTGACTGAGTTGATTATGATGAGTTAGTTATGAGTTATATATGCAGCCGAGGGCTGAGTTGATTAGAATGAAAGAGGATGAACTATGTTTATAGCCGAATGTTGAATTGATTATATGTTATTCCATCATATTCACATAGAGATGATGAGCATTCTGTTATGATACTTGGCATGACATACATTCATATTGTCTAGCATAATTTGAGATATATTACATATATGAGTATATACTTTATTTCTGGGAAAGTATACAAGTTTTACGGAGAGGGGTTACAAAGTTTTGAGAAGTGTTTGGATTTGGAAAAGATTTGTTTTACTGACCCACTCAATTTTGGTTTTGCGCCCCTCCAGGTTCAAGAATTGCAGGTGTGGTGACTACGAGGAAATTCAACGGTGTTCTGACAGAATGGACCAAATGAGGACTCACCTTCGGGTGGTTTATCTTAGTAGTTGTATATTTTAAAGCTTCCGAACTGTGTAAATGGTTACGTCACTCTCACGTGACGGCCAGCATGCCCTCCTTCGGGACGGGGTGTGTCAATCCGGGCTAAAATTTTAGGTTAGAATGGTTCGAACAGAAAAGCTGTTTCTAGACTAAAAACTAAATTTTATGTGCTAAAAAATTTGATTTTTAGCCCAACCATTGGAGATGGCCTTAGTGAGGGAAATTAGCCAAAATAGGTTTTTTTTTTATTATTTTTTATTTTTTTATCGCTATGCTTACATGTGTGTGGATAATTTTTTTTTTTTTTAAAGAAAAAAAATGAGAAATAGAGAGAACGATAAACAGAAAGTGAAAATGAGGATGAGTTTGTGGTTTTATTTTTTAAAAATAACTATAAAGTTTTGTTTGTGCAAAATTAATTTATTGTCCACAACTTTATTTTGTGATACAAGATAAAATGTGACACGTCCGACTCTGATATTTCCCGAACACCAGAGTAGGCACGTGCTGGGCGACACCTGAAGGTGACGAAGCCATACTAGTGTGCACGAGAACCAATGAAAATAAATAAGACTTATAAATTTAAGTATAATTAATATCCAAATGAGGAACGTATTCAGAGTATACAACTAATTTAGAACACTAAAAGGAAATAATATAAAATTGAATGAGCAAAGGAGTGGATCCTACACCGAGAGGACTCGAAGATGCCGATGTGAAAATGCCTTGACGTCGGGATTGTATGCCTTGATTCTAAGTCTTGAGGGGGCGCAAAACAAACATGAGTGGACCAAGTTGATAGTATAATATGTAATAGGTTTTCCGAAATCCTAGCATGCCATAAAACCTTCATAAAACATACATCATATATAGTGTGCTAAGTAGTGGTATCAAATCGCCCATAGGCACTATATTTCTTGGCCCGAAGCCAGTGCATATATCTCTCAGCTCAAAGCCCTCTACATATATCTCCCTCAGCCCGAAGCCATCTACATATATCTTTCTCGGCCCGAAGCCCGACCAGTGACCATTAGATACGCACAAAACATTAAATATACTCTTTCCAACATAAATCCATATATCTCAAAAACATCTTCATAACATATAGTCATCCATCATATATACTACAAAGAAGTGTAAAAATATGTTGATAAATAGTATATAGTCATCCATCATACTACAAAGAACATAAGTTCGATAAAATATGGTATTCCAAAATATTCTCAGTAAAGCATGATAATCACATAATGTAAATCCAATTTACTTATAAAACGTTTCATAAAACGTAACCATTAAATCATGCTTTTCATGTATACATTTCTACTATTAAAACATGCATTTTAGAAAGGGTCCACTCATAGAGACTCCGTTGTCAAAGTGTCACGCAAACTAGCGAAGACGGAAACACCATAATAAATGCACATGAAACTCGCTGTGAGGTGGCCGGGTTTTGTCTCGAAAGCCCCAGGGTTCGCCGGAGCTGGGTTTTCTTCTTTTTGTTCGTCGGGGACGCGGAGGGGGGGGTCAAGGAGGTGGTCGAGGGTGGTTATGACAGCCCGTCCCGAAATTTTTTTAAAAACGTACGCGTGAAAAAACGATTTTGCCCTAATGTGATTTTTACATCGTGTGGTTGTTTTTGGGTTTTTGTTGGCATGTTTTGGACCACACACACACTAACCTACACCCCACACCCTTTCCCCTATCCCTGCACCCTGTCCCGAGCTCCCTTTCCTTCCCATTTCCTATCCAAACGTATGGACACACACACAAACCCATCAAATCCTCACAGATCGAAGAAACAAAGTACATATCCATGCTCGTGAGGCTCATAGGAGTCCAACCATACCCATTTCAGGTAAGGTTACCTTCGTTTTCACGTCGAACTCGGGTTGCCCGATTTTGGTACTGTTCATGCACACGTAATTTCTCATGATTTTGGTAATTTCAAGCTTGTAGGAAGCTTGGTGAGGTCCCTAGGAGGCTCGGGGTGGTTCGTTTGAAGGTTTTGGACGTCGGGATCACGAGTTTCGAGGTTGGCCGGAGTTGGGGTGATTTTTCAGGTGAGATTTTGTAGATTTTAGCACTTGAAAGTGGTATGATTTTGTTCCTCTCGTTGTAAGCTTCATTTTGGTACCAATTTTGTGAAATTTGGTTGAAAAACGAAGAAGATAGGACGATTTAAAGTTTTCCCGATTTTTCGGCGCTAGAGTCTCGCCGGAGAAGACGACGGAATATTCCGTCAAATCTGACGGAATATTCCTGATGCCGTTGACGGAAACC